ATAAGATATTCAATTAATTAATTGAATACAATATAAATGTATTCAACAACTATAAATGAAATTTACTATTCAATATAAATCAAGTTAGTTTAAAACATTATATTAATGTGGCATTATTAATGTTTCTATTAATAAAGTTTTTGTTTACTATTTTCACCTGGGAATATGTGCTTTGCGTTTGTCCCATTTTAACATGATAAAGGCATTGTCGCAAGTTGACCGACTATAACCAGAATTTATTTACATTTTAAATTAAATCAATTTTTCAATATAATATTGAAATGTAAAAAATTATTTGTCTAACTATAACGGGTAATGACCTAGAGTAATTTTTATTTTTATATTTCAAACCTAAATTCCTGGATAACGATAAGGGCGACCATTTGTGGAGATGGAATGGTATCAGAAATACGACAAAATTTATGGGTAATTATAACGTGAAACTTAAGACAAAATATTAAACCTTTTTTTATAAAATGTTTTGAATGCGATTAAAGGATATACTTATTAGCGAAGCCCAGGCTAACAGTGGCCGTGTTTATTATAAACAAAGTTTCGGATGACTGACCCAATATCATTAAAATTTGATGCAAAGGAGATGTCAAGGTATTAAAAAAGTACGCTATTTATTTATTAAAATATATTTAAATGATCAACCTTTGAATTTTAAATCCAAAAAGAACGTCCATAAATTTTTATATCAAAAAATTACATAAATATAATAGTATTTATAAAAATTACACTTGGGCCTTCATTCAACTTAGGAACGAAAAATAAACCTTTTTTTTAAAAATCATCAATTATGCCTTCAATTATCTCCGTTATTTATGGACTTACAGATTTTTAAATGTTATTTTTGCAATCAGAATTCAAAAAAATCTCTTAAAAGTATTTCTAGCCATTTATGCACGTATTTTAACATTTTAATCATGCTCATTTTGGCTTTTATCTATATTTCCACCGTATTGACATAGAGTACCACAAGGTTTCTTTTTAATAATTTGTTTTATACATTATAAGCTTGTTAAATGAATAAAGAAAGTTTATGGTACTCAATGGCAATACGTTGAAATTTTAAAAATAAAATATTTTTTTCGAGAAAGGTCCATCAAATAAAAATAATTATAATATTTAGAGTACCGTATATTGTTAAGCTCTATTAAATTGTGGAAAAACATTCAATTAATTCGAACCCGTTTTATAGTAATTAATTACTATACTATACATTGTTTATATAAACTTAAATTATTCTACAACTTTACTTATAATATTTAAATTATTTTCATATTTGTCTTTCTTTCAATGTCCTACATCAATCTGAGAAAACTTGAATAAATTAAAACACCTTGTTGCCTTCTCTTGACATCTCCTTTACAACATTAGCGTACTTATGCAATGAATTATACAATAATATTAAGATACAATTTTGTTGAATAATATATAGTTTTAATAAAATTTTGTATTAACCTAAAAAACATCAAAAATTATATATTCATTTAGTTGTCTGACATTTTAAATCCTGTTTACAACTTTAGTACCAAAAACTTATTATATCATTATATTGTCAGGTGTGAAGCTGTGTTTGCCATTATCATCATTAAGTTAAGCGCATTTTGTTAAATATTTTTCAATATTTAGCCCAACTTTCCGAAAACCCCGATATCTTCCGAAAACGGCAAAAAACTAAAAATATGACCAGGGCTGTCATTTTGCGCAAATTTTATTAATACCAGTTTTAGTATAGTTTTTGTTACAATAATATAATTGTAAACATTTTAAATTTAACTTTCTGTTATGTTGGTGTTTGGTTTATAATTTATAAAATATATATCATAAAATTCGATATAATTTTTACAAATATATTTTCAATAAATACATATCGATTTAGATTTTTAAGACAATCATAAGTTTTTAAGCGCAATTCAGCTATGTAATAAAAAGCGGTATATAATGTATCACACGCCCAATTTTTAATGAAAATTTATTTAAGCTATTATTAAAAAATTGATTATTAATAGAGACAGAATAAAACAAAATATAGGATAGGATTTAATATACTAATGATAAAAAATTTAAAAATAATTTAATATTAGTATTATATCTTAATATATGCTATAAAACGCGCTAATAATATATCTGAAATTTTTTCTAATTATTCTAAATTTATTTTTCTAACAATTTGTACTGAATGTCCTATTACAATTTATTTTTAGAAATATCAAAACATTTACCTATAATTTCGAAATCTGAATATTAAAATAATATAAAATTTTTTAATTAGTCTTGTTTGTTCCAGCATACATTGTAAAAATTATCATTATCTCATACTTATAAACATAGCCCGGGCTTTCAGGGATTTTAGCATAAATATGGAGTTGCCATCACGCAAAAACATTGTTCCAAAATAAACATTTTTAACTGTGGTTATAATTTTAGAAAATAAGTTCACTATTTAGTCAATCTGGTTCACAATTAAGTTAATTTAGTTGACTAATTAGTTAAATTGGTTCACAATTAAGCTAATTTTCTTCACAATTTAGTTAATTTGGTTCACAAATAAGTTAATTTAAGTCACTATTTAGTTAATATTAAAGTATGGTTATAATTTATGAACCAAATTAACTAAATTGTGAACCAAATTAACTAAATTGTGAACCAAATTAACTAAATTGTGAACCAAATTAACTAAATTGTGAACCAAATTAACTAAATTGTGAACCAAATTAACTAAATTATGAAAAGAATTAGCTTAATTGGAACCAAATTAACTTGATTGTGAACTAAATTGCTTTTAAATGGAGAACCTCGGGTTATGCCCAGTCGGCCTCACATTAAAAAAAATTAAATAACTAATTTACACTAATCTCATCCAAACATTCAAATCTTACCAATTATTACAATTTTAAAATGCTTTCCAATCACAACACGACACGATTAATACACTCAACACATCACTATAAACTTTGTTTGGTCTAAATATCACTATAATACTAAATATAAAAGTGATTTAAATTCAAAATGCAAAATACCAGTTAATGCATTCAAATATAAAGCAATTAAAAAATAAACTACAATTCAATTGATTAGAATTCATGTAAAATAAGTGATAAAATTCTTTCCAATCACAACACCATTAATACACTCAACACTTATCGCTATTTTCACTGTTTTTAAAAACAAATGTAAAGTAAATCCTTTTATCACTAAGTTTTATGATTTTGAGTTAATCTTTTTATCAAAGCATTTTTCGTGCTGGTACCTAAACATATCCCTGGATCCCCGGGCTATGCTTATAAACATAGTCTATATTTATACTATACATAGTTTAACAAGGGGAAATTTCAAATTCCCTCTATAGATGGGTCTTATATTTGGTATTACATTAAATTGAGTTACAAAAACTTTTTTAAAAGAGTGACAGAAGTTTAGAGTCATGGCTGTAAAGCGTATTTATCTGGCCAGGGATCAATTCAAATGTTTCGGGAAGGCCTCAATACAATAAATTGAGTTGATTTAAATACTCTAATATATTAATTTCAATATACAGTTACAGTATATGAGATATGAATATATCAAATGATGACATGAACTTACATATGACTATAGCATTGAAAGTAATATTAAATACAGTATAAAAACTACACATAATTAATGTCATCTTTGTATTGTATATCTCATGTACAGTATATAGGTTTATGCAATAATGTTAAACAAGCACTTTTCAAAATGACAAGGGCAATTATACTAATTTGTAGGTTATTTTATTCATTTAGATTTAATACTTAAATAATTATTTATTTAAAAGATCATGTTTAATCATTTCTACCATTTTTCTGTTGAATTTAAATTAGCAGTTTATATTAGCATATTATATTTGGTGCTAAACGCATCTTATTGATTAAATATTAAAAATATATTTTTTATTTCATTAATCTGTCACAGTTATTTGTTATTAATATACAGTATATATAGCTAGAGTATATAAATTTATATGAATTATATGAACTATGCAATATGATAATAGTTTTGAAACATTTTGCAATTTAAAGATTTTTAAAGGATATAAGTTTAGCCAAATCATCGACTGATATAACTGTTGCCAACCATGAAATTAATAATAATTTCCAAATGATATTATTTAGTTAAAGTCATTGTACAGAGGACGGTTATTTAAACAAATGACGTAGGTAGTGACGCTATAGTGGAGGGGCTATTTTGGACGTCCCATTTGTTTTTGAAAAGGGTGAGAGTGTAAAACCATGGGCAGCTGGACACGGTCACTTATAATTGATATCAAGTTGGTTGCGAACCACATGAATATTGGCTATTATTGTATATTAAATTATTACCTTGGTACCTACAAATAAAATCTTAAATTAATTATCACTTTTTTATCACTCATTTTCCATGTATTTTAGGATATTTGGCTACAAAATTCGTAAAGTACATTTTGAAATTGATACTTTTTTGTGTTTTTGTACGCTTTTCAATAGCTATTACACAGAAGATTGAAAAATTCAAGATTTTATGAAAATTACTTTTGGGTATTTAGGGGTATTGCTGAACTGGTCCCTATTTCGTGGCCCTTAGCCCATTGGCCCACTATTACAGGGAAGCCCACCTAACCTAACCTATCATACTTAACAGGCATTGCAGTGAAGCCAACCCAGTCTTGCAGTGAAACAAACCAACTTCTAGTGTAATTAAGTTAAGTTTGGTTAGGTTGGCTTTCCTGTAGTGGTGGGCCAAGGGCCACGAAATAGGGGCCAGTTCAGTAAACCCCGGTATTTAGACAGAAATATTGCATTTTACACAATAATGACTCGCATTACAACATATTTTATTTTGTAGGATCTAAACAGGATCTTTTGTTGGCACTTTTGAAAACATTGAATGTATGACATGCACAAATTGTGTATAAAAACATATGCAACAAACTATTGAATATTTATAAGTTTAAACTTTAAATAGTTATACTTTAAGTATTAAATAAAAATAAAATTATAAAATTAATTCATTAAACATCGAGTTTATTATGACTTTACTGTTGGGGTCAGTGTTGGCACCGATTTGCCAGACATACGAGTGGTGTCTCATTGGACTCATTGGACTCATTGTGGCGGTGATCGCCTATTACTACATGTAAAGGCATTTACACTGAATCCCAGTTATAATTTGTAATTAAAACAAATAATTGAAAAGTAAATAATGAAAACTCCCATTCATTCAGTTCGTGGAGGAATGCCTTCAGCTATTGGAAGGATCGACACATTTGTGGTCCAAAACCCATCCCTATATTCGGAACCTTCTTGAGTACTGTCCTAAAAGTGCGACCATTTGTGGAGATGGAGTGGTATCAGAAATACGGCCGACTTTATGGGTATGTATTATATTATAACTCTGTTTTAGCCGACAGTACATACAAACCCCGACAATTATAATAAGGCGTGATCCACAAAGTACTACGCCTAGGGGGAGGGGGTAATGCCAAAGCGTATGCCCTCGTGTTAAACTCGTATGACATTAATTAGGTTTTAAATATAAATACTATAATTATTGCAATAATATCTATGAATTTTGCGTTAACTAAAGCAAAAAATAACTATTTATATATATAATTTTTGTATTTTGTATATAAGTTTTGATTCGATAAGGTTTTATCTATATATGAAAGAGTTTACATAAAAGAGTGATTTGATTTTGTCAACAGAGACTGTAAACTATAGTTAGGAATAGAGTACAGGCAAATACCGGCACTAAAATCTATTTGATTTCTAATATAATTCAATTTGTTTTTATTATTAATGAACTTTAATTTGTTTAAATTATAAATAACCATTACTAATCAGATTAATTAAAACTTAATAATAAAAATAACTTATATTAAATTAAAATCAAATGGATTTTAGTGCCGGTATTTGCCTGTACTCTAGTCCTAACTACCGTTTACAGCACTGATTCTCAATTTGTCACTAAAGTGGCAACTAGCCTTGTAACAACTTTGAATTATAAAGCATTTAATTTAACGCTAGGTATTTTATTTATTAATATCACCTTACTCACCTATTGATTAGTATCAATATAATATTTTATTTGAAAACTAATAGGTTGACAATTCATATATGAATATTTGTTAATTATATGTATTAATACTTATAATAAACAAAAAATAAAATAATCAAGTTTAGACTCATATTATAACAAATAAATGGCGTGTTTTGTTTCATTTATAATTTGTATGAATAAATAATTTTCAAATTATGATTTTTAACTTAAGTGTTAGAGATTAACAAAATAACTAGTGTTGAATCAAATGCTTTAAAATGCAAAGTTGTTACAAGGCTAGTTGTCACTATATTTATAGAATGAGAACCACTGGTTTACAGTCTCTGTGCACAAAATCAAATCACTCTTTTATGTAAACTCTTTCATATAGTATATAGTAGAGGTAGGGCTGCCAACTATTTTCATGGCCCAGGAGGACACTAGGACAAAAATATTTAAAATGTTTAATACATGTGTAACTAATGCTATGTTATTTATTGCCTAGCTCCCAAATTGGCGGAAAGTTTTGCACTCTTATCTACATTTAATCCTTTTATTTACATACCAGGTGTTAATCCCTTCCCAGGTCTCATAAACAACATCATGTGATTAAAGCATGTGATTTGAAAACATTGAAGTTTCTGCAGTGAGTGTTGAGTGTATTAATGGTCTTGTGATTGGAAAGCATTTTATTACTGATTTATTTTGAATGTTTTAATTAATTTTTAAAATAAGTTTTTTATATCGAGTTTTGAAGTGACATTTAGATCAAAACAGTGGAAATAGTGATAAGTGTTGAGTGTATTAGTGGTGTTGTGATTGGAAAGCATTTTCTCACTTATTTTACATAAATTCAAATCAACATTTCAATCATTTTTATTAATTGTTAATTATTTTAATGAATTTTTTTAATAATAGTGAGTTTTTAAAGTTTGCAAACAATCAAAATAACACATTAAGTGATTTTGCAAACAAACCAAAAGTAGATCCAAAATTATCTGGAAAAATTATTGAATTATGTGTTAATGATTAACCATAATTAATAAAATTGAATTATCCAAAAATTTGTTTTACACCTTGTATAAAATTTTTAATTTGAATTATTTAGTATCTCCGCCAATTGGGGAGCTAGTTTATTAATGTTTATACATAACTTATGTAATTTTAAATTACTAATTTATGTAACATAAGTTAAATGAATAATTATTTTAATAAAATTTAATAAAGTAACATATTAATATATAATATAATAAAATATGCAATTAACATAATTAATTAATCAATTTAATTGTAATTCCATTTTAAATTATATTACAATCTATCAAAAGGGATATAAAAAAGTAGTTAACATGAAAATAAAATTGTTAATACTTCTTATTATAAACCTCATAAAACATATTAAATTACATATAATTTTTTTTAAATATAACAACATTACAAATCATTATAATTTGTTCATTTGACATTTATAGCAAAATGCGATGATAATAGATTTTGGCAAAATAACCTCAAAATAAATATTTGTGTTTTACTTTTTTAATATATCACTTATCATTGTTTAATTTTGCTTTGTAGTGCATTTGACAAACTTGTGATAAACTTGAAAGTAATTGTAGTACTTCTTTATATAGTAACAAATGTACTTTTAGTATTAATTGTATTCTTTCCGGCTGATTCAAGTGATCTTATATGAGATCAGACAAAATAAATGCACTCAACTAATACAAAAAAACTTAATGATTTTTCTAATTGAACAAATTGATGCTATTATCGCACTATATCGCAAAATATTGAACAACAATTATGCTATTTATGTGAAATGGTTTAAATTGAACTACTGGTGCCATTAAGGTGATGAGATCCCACATACATTGTACATACAAATGCACAATCATTGTCCCTTTCCCTACCTTAATTACAGTCACACGAATGACACACTTTATTATATAAAGCTACTTTTATTTGTATGGACACAAAAATAGGCAAAAATGCCTATACTGTAAGACTATTAGAAACTAGACTTCAAAACTAGTTTTGTCTCAAAGTTTTACATACAGTAGTGTCACTTATATGAACAATATTTGCCGTTATATTTGTAGATTCTGTACTACTCTTACAAATTCTTAACACTTTTTCATTAAATTTTCATTAATTTTTAATATCTATATTAAAAAGTAAACGAGTTGTAATTATTATTTTATGATTATCATGAATACTTCATTTCATAAACTATTTGCGGTTTTATGTTATATAATACTAATAATTGTTATTCAAGTGATAAGTTTGAATAATAGTAATCCGGATAATAATTGGCAACAAGTGATGGACAACTCATATATCCTTAGAGACGACCCGAAAGTGAAACTCATTAAACATATTATACTGACCGCACATGTAGTCAATGTAAGCGCCGGCTGTCAACAGAGTATCGCCGATACTCTACAGTCGTTTGAACGGCTGGACGATTGGTCCTACAAAATGGTCAACTCTTGGGGCGATTTCCCGCCCAAAGGCCTAATGAGGGGTACGTTCACCGACTTCGGCGACTACGACCAGTGCCTGTCCATAGCGCCCAACCCCACGATAGGCCAATCGCAGTACTGTTTGGTGGACGTGGATATGCCGGTGCCTAAAAACACTGCACCCGAGTATCAAAACTATTTTGACAAAATAGATGTTTTACCTAAAAGTCTCAATACTAGTGAAAACAATATATTTGTGAAGCTATCGGAAAACGCCTCCTATTTCTACTTCTTCTTCATGAGGACCGGGATCTGTACGCCTAATAAGTGCACCATTAGTGACATCAAACTTATAGTTGACACAAGTATTTATAAATTTTCTAAAACTATTTAATAAAACTTTTTTTACGAGACAAAGAATTTTTGGTGAAACTAATATTTTAATTGTATTTTTTTCAATAGGCTTTAAAACATGGGGTTTAAAACCGAGAGAAATATCGTGTGAAGTAAATGCACCAAAAAGTCTTAATTTGGTGCAAATAGTTGCCATGTAAGCATACCAGTGCCAGTATTTTGCACATAGATATAATACTATTAATATGAATAATTAGAAATTAATTTATAATTAGTTTATTTGACATTAAAGACTTTAGTTTATTGCTATAAATGTTCTTTGTAAAAATATTATTTGATTATATTTACAGAATTGTATTCATTGTATTCCTAATGACAGCTATTTTATCAACAATTTTATTACGAATTATAGACTATCATAAAAGTAAGTCATAATATTTTGTATAAGATTTATCTATTATATTAGCATGAAAATTTTAAAGTCTACAAATTAAACAGTAATTTTCAAAATACCATTTTTTAGGGAAGTCTCGATTTATATACTTTTTAGTGACTTTTAGTTTTGAGCATAATTTACGAAAATTATTCAAACATGACTCAAATCAAGAGCTTTTGTGTATTCATGGCATCAGATTTATTACAATTATCTGGGTTATATTCGCCCACGCTATTGAGTGGACCTATCTTGGAATATATCGTAAGTTTCACGCATTTACTGTACAAAAACATAATTTTAATTTACATTTAAATAATATTGCATTTAATTTACATATAAAATAAAATTGTATAAATCATATATAAATAAAATAATTATCAATTAAAGGAAACTTATTTGACATGAAATATGTGATAACATCGCCGCAAAATCAAATCATATTGCAGCCGTACTACGGCGTTGAGACATTCTTTTTAATCAGGTACATTTTAGCATTAAAAATTTAGTAATTTTAAATTCACTTTTATATTTAGCGGTATTTTGACGACTTATATCACTTTGAAAACTACGGGCGGAAAGGCAAACAGTTTCAGTGCCATTGGATACCTATTATCGCGATATATAAGACTCACCCCGCAAATGGTATTCTTCATACTATTGTCATCTCTAATACCACTATTAGGTTCGGGACCAGTTTGGCACCAACACGTCACGCCCTTAATGGACAACTGCTACCAAAATTGGTGGCAAAATATTTTTTACATTCAAAACATCATGAGTGATGCCACCACTAAAATGGTATAAAACTTAGCATGGTGTTTGGGTCTAATATAGTGGACTACTTATGTACAATTTAAACTCGTTATATTAGTGCGGTTTGCATACCTGGTTCATCGCATGTTATATGCAACTACATTGGATGTCCCTGATTGTGATGATAGCACTTCACCGGACCATTAGGTGCGGGCTGACTGTGAACGCCATTAGTTTGTCTGTGTTTTGTTTGGTTACGGCCGCACTTGTATTCAAGAATGGATACCCGCCCTCTCATATACTTCCCATGAGAAGGTACAGCTAATGAGTATTATATTAATGATTGCATTTAATTATACATATTTTGCAGCGATTTCTTGCTATCAAAAGGGGATGACTTCAAGAGTTTGAATTACTTTTTCTGGAGTCCGTGGTCTCATGGGATCGTCTTTTTCATAGGCCTGGCCTTCGGTTATGGTGTCTATCAGATGCGACCAAAACAACTATCATTTGTGAGTAACTTTTGTCAATCTTTTACATTATATAAAAAGAATAATACATTTTATTCATATTCATTAAATACAAGTTTATTTTATACTATTTTCAAATTTATTAACAGATGTCTAAATGTATTATTTGGGTCTCATTTGCGGTCAGTTATGTATATGTTTTCTACGAGAGTATGTGGTGGGCGCATGGGCGCAGCTACGGCCAGATGTTCACCCCTTCCCTCTCAGCCCTACTCTACCCCCTAAAGCGGATTCTGTGGGCCCTTAACATCGCTGCCATCGTATGGATGTGTATCTCAGGGAACGCCCCTTTCATCAACAAATTCTTGTCGTTCAGGGGATTCATACCACTGTCCCGTCTCACATACACCGTATACCTGACCCACGCGTGGGTCGTATGGATCTACTGGGGCTCTAAGAGAGATCTCATTGATATGAATGCCTTCACAATACTGTTCCTCACGTGCGGTGTAATAGTCGTGTCGTTTGGCGTAAGTATTGTGTTCTCAATGCTATTCGAAGCGCCCTTTTTTGCACTTCAATCCTATCTAAAGGGCTATTCGTGCGATAAAATGAAAATTATTATATTTGATAAAACTGATACTGATCAGGTTAACTTTACGAAACCACTTACTAATGAGTCCCACGAAATGACTGCTCATGCTTGATACAAAAAAATAATTATTATATATTTTATAACCAAATTATACTGAACACATGTACCGGTAATA